GCAGTGGAGCTGCTGTTATCCCTGTTTTCCCTGGGGGAAGTGCTCAGGACGCTCCAGGCAGGGGTTGGAGTCCCAGGGACCTCTGGCAGGGGGACAGGGCTGCTGCAAACAGCATCCTGGGCCTCTGTCCCTGCTCTCAGGATGCTCTTCCCAAGGCTGCTGCAGCTGGGAAAAAGAAATACTCAATAAAAACAGCAAATTAAAACAGCAAATTAAAACAGCAAATAAAAACAGCAAATAAAAATAGCAAATAAAAATACCAAATAAAAATACCAAATAAAAATACCAAATAAAAATACCAAATAAAAATACCAAATAAAAATACCAAAAATCAGTGGGAATTTTCAAGCATTTGCTGCAATGGCTTTCTGAGTTATATCCACCACAATCCTTGTCTGAGCAGCACAAACTCAGAGTTTCTCTCTCACAGAGATGTAAAGAACAACTAAGATGTTTAAGAACAACTAAATCAAAGTTATTAGTGGAAAAACAATCCTGCTGGGATTTTCTGACAGGTAACAGCCCCGAGGCACAGCTGGGAATAAATCAGTGGGAATTTTCCAGCACTTGCTGCGATGGCTTTCTGAATTATATCCACCACAATCCTTGTCTGAGCAGCACAAACTCAGGGTTCAGCTCTTCTAGAGTGCACAGAGATGTGGAGAACAACTGAGATGTTTAAGAACAACTAAATCAAAGTTATTAGTGGAAAAACAATCCTACTGGGATTTTCTGACAGGTAACAGCCCTGCATTTGGCCAAGGAACCTTCTGGATAGAAACAAAGCATCCTGGGCCTCTGTCCCTGCTCAAAGGGTGCTTTTCCCAAGGCTGCTGCAGCTGGGAATAAATCAGGGGAATTTTTCAAGCACTTGCTGCAATGGCTTTCTGAATTATATCCACCACAATCCTTGTCTGAGCAGCACAAACTCAAGGGTTATTTTTCCTGGAGTGCACAGAGATGTGGAGAACAACTGAGGCAATCAAAGTTATTAGTGGAAAAACAATCCTACTGGGATTTTCTGACAGGTAACAGCCTTGAGGCACAGCTGCACCTTTAATACAGAAACAAAAATTACAAATCTTTACAAAAAAGGCTGAGAATTCTGTTGTTGGGGGTGAGGAGAGAAAGGGTCAAAGGCTTCAAATGAGCACAGGCTGCTCGAGGCTCCTGAGAGCCACAAGGAACACAATTTTCACTGCCCCTACTGCAGGTTTATTCTGCACATCCTGATTTTTTTGGGCATCAACTGCTCAAGATGTAAGGATGGACACCTCTGGATCAGTGACACCTACTTGGTCCAAGGCTGACAGTTCTCGTTCCTCCCTGGGGAGAAAGTCCCCTCAGGACACGGTGAACACACTGGAAAAAAGGGAATAAAGCAGGCAGGGTGTGAGCCCAGGGAGCAACACAACTGTGTGACAGCTACACAAAAATGAAATAATAACTTAGAATGGTCTGGCTTGTAGAACAGACCCAACAAAAGCCTCTAAAAACCCAAGATATCGGGGCAGAAGTAACACAGCACACCCAGTGGTTGGTTTTAATCTGCAAGTGGCAGGATTCCCTGCTTTGGCCACTGGTAAATGATGGATATTACCAAGGAGAACGTTCCTGTTTCTGACAGGAACCACAGAGCAACAAGTTTGAACAACTCCCCTCGTGGGGAGATGTCCAAGAGAGAAATTCCATCAGCTTTTACACTGGAAATAAGAGGAGACAAATGACAATAGCTTTTTTTTTACACTGGAAATGACCACCTCAGTCTGGTGTGGAGGAAAGAGCTGGGAGAGCCTGGCACATCCAGGCAGGGAGGGAGCTGGGATTTGGGATGGACAGGAAGCTGAACAGGAGCCAGAGTGTGCCCAGGTGGCCAAGAAGGCCAATGGATCCTGGCCTGGCTCAGGAACAGGGTGGCCAACAGGGCCAGGGAAGTGATTCTGCCCCTGGACTCAGCACTGGTGAGGCCACCCCTGGAGTGCTGTGTCCAGTTCTGGGCCCTCAGCTCAGGAAGGACATGGAGGGGCTGGAGCAGGGCCAGAGAAGGGCAACGAGGCTGGGGAAGGGACTGGAGCACAAGTGCTGTGAGGAGAGGCTGAGGGAGCTGGGGGGGCTCAGCCTGGAGAAGAGGAGGCTCAGGGGAGACCTCCTCACTCTCTGCAACTCCCTGACAGGAGGGGGGAGCCAGGGGGGGTTGGTCTCTTTTCCCAGGCAACCATCAGCAAGACAAGAGGGCTGGGTCTGCAGCTGTGCCAGGGGAGGGTTAGGTTGGATATTAGGAAGAATTTCTTTCCAGAGAGGGTGATCAACCATTGGAATGGGCTGCCCAGGGAAGTGGGGGATTCTCTGTCCCTGGAGGTGTTTAAGGGATTCTCTGTCCCTGGATGTGGCATCAGTGCCATGGGCTGGGAACCACAGCGGGGTTGGATCAAGGGTTGGACTTGATGATCTCAGAGGTCCCTTCCAACCCAGCTGATTCTGTGATTCTGTGATTCTCTGATCCCTGACTCACCACTTCCCAGGGGCAGCCCAGCTGGCATGAACCCTGCCCGGCACACGCACACCCTGTCCGAGGTCTTCTCACACTTCTTCACCTCCACGCTCCCTCTCTCTAAAAAAAAAAAAAAAAGGATTAAAAAGCAAGTGAGAGACAAGAGATAACACTGAGAGAGAACACAAATTAATTCCCCTCCCTGTGTGGAAACACCTGCAGGGAACAGAGAAGAACCCTGCAGTGTTTTCAGGCCCCACCACGAGCAGGAGCAGGAGAGACCAGACATTGGCACAACCCAGACTCTGGGTGGGAGGTGAGAAAGCAAACAGAGACTGATTCTTCCTGACTTTGTGGGAGGAAATGCCCCCCTGCCAGTGCCTTACTGGTGTTGCAGACTGTGCAGCTGTTGCAGAAGCTGTGGTGGTGCTCACTGCTGAAATATTCATCCTGGCAGGGGATACACTCCGTGTCCGCCGTGGCCGTGCAGCGGTTCCTCATCCTCTCCCCTAAAGCAGGGATCACAGAGCACACACACTGCTTGGGATCACCACAAAATCCTCTTTTTCCCCCCCATTTTCCCCCCTGAATTAGGATTTTCATTTTCACAGGGTAATGCATTTTCACCCATTAGGACAAAACAACACCCTGAGTGTGTTGGTCCCACCTCCAGCTCTGCCTGAGAATGTTTGGCAGGTTTAGACATCCCAGCATCCCAAAAAACTCTGACCCACAGCACTGGGAATGAGTAGCTAAACTGGGATAAAAAGGGCCTGAGAGCTGAGGCAATGATTCTCCCAGCAGATCCCAAATATCCCTTCTCCAGACCACCTTTCCACAGGGTTTGGGCATCTCAGTTTGCAGCCAGTGCCCGGAAAAAAAGGCTGAGGCTTTGTGCCCCAAATAATTCTCCCAACAGATCCCAAATATTCTTTCTCCAAACCACCTTTCCCTAGGGTTTGGGTATCTCAGTTTGCAGCCAGCAGCAGGAAAAAAGGCTGAGGCTTCATTCCCCAAATAGTTCTCCCAGCAGATTCCAAATATCCCTTCCCTAGACCACTTTTCCATAGGATTTGGGCATCTCAGTTTGCAGGCAGTGGCAGGAAAAAAAGCAGGTTTTTAGCCCAGCAATAAGTCTGACTTCCAGTGTAGTACAATGGCTTTGTGACAGAACCTGCCTTCCTTCAGGAGTTAAATATATATATTTATACATAAATGATGCAATTCAGCCCAAATAATCCCAAACAGGGACAAAAATGGTTGTTCCCTTCATTTTGCTTCTCCATTTTCCCATCTGCAGGTGAATGAGCATCAAGCCTCTTGCTCACTCTAATTCTGTTTTATTGAGGGCTGAGTGGCAAAATTAGGATTATTAGGGAGCATAATATGTGCAATAAATGCCATTTTTACCATCTGCACGAGGAAGAGACTGTGAAAAAACGTTTCCCCAACAGCAGCACATTTTCTAACAATGCAAAAACCTGATAAGAGGGTTTTTTTCAGTTTAAGGGGGAAGAAAATGTGAGAGATAAAGTGTTATTTATCTGTCTCTGCCCACAAACGTACCTTGAGTTCACAAACACTCAGATTCTAAAGAATTTTGAGAATAACACCACAAACTGCCTCAAAACTTAAGATTAAAGGCTGATTTTAACCCAATTAGCATCCTGGAGGATGAAACTCCTGCATCCATCTTGGGGATAGATTTAATGATGAAAATAAGAAGCAAGGAGGGAAAACCAAGCTGGTTTTTCCTGACAAAAGGCTGAAATCCCTCCTGGAGACTCGTGGATTGGGGAAAAAAACTTGTTCAATCTTTACAAGAAGAAAGGAGGAAACAAATACAGTCCCTGTCAAGTAACTTTGCTCATCTTCATCTAGGAATAAAGTATTTTTGTTTAAAAAAAAAAACCACCTTGTTACACTTTGCTGATCTCTATGATCCAAGAACATTGATTTTTTTTTCCCCTTAAAAAAACCCACCAGTAAGAGGAGTAATATAAACTCTGCCACAAAGGAAAAAGTTTCAAAAAACACCTTTAGCAACAGAATTAATAGTTTTTGTTGTTATCTGAGACTTCTGAGGTTCTTTATGTGATAAAAGACAATAACAGAAATGCCACCACTTTTTTTTTTAACAGACAACACTCCCAAAGTGAAAATGCCCCTGACTGACACATTAGACACACAGAAATTACAGAATAAAAGGAAGATCCCTAAATTTTGTATGTTATAGAAAGAAAAAAAAAATCTGAAAGATCTTTTATGTCATAGAAAGATTTATCTGATTTTATGTTATAGAAAGAAAAAAAGCTCCTCACCAAATTTTCTCTACGTTATCCTTCCTCCAGCCTTAAATATATCCTTGTATATATTGAAATATATCTTGAAATATTCCTAGAAAGCTGGTTTATACATTTATATATTTTATATAATAAATAAGATTTCCCACCGAACCCGACTTACCCGGGGCACAGTCGCTGCAGCATTTATCCCGGTACGGATATTGGTGTTCCCTGCATTCCAACCCCCGGGAATCGGGAACAGCAACCAGCAGGAGGAAGAAAACAGCGGGAAAATTCCCCCCTGGCCGTGCCATCCCCGTCCCAGCCCGCTTTGGGTGCTCGGGGAGCAGCGATTTCGCAGCCCCGGGGCCACCAGAACAAACTGATATTTCGGGCGCCGGGAAATTCCCGGCGAGTTTTCCACGCCCCCTTCCTTCTTCCCACCCCCCCCTTTCCTTCTTCCCACACCACCCCGAGCCCCGGGGAGGGTTTTTTTTTTTGTTAAGTTCATCACTGAAAGATTCGCAGGCAGGAAGGTAAGATGCTGAATTGCATTTTGAGGAGGTTTCTATTCTTAGCTCTCCGCGCGGCGACTCCAAAAGAGCGGCAAAGGCCAGGCTGGGAATGCCAGGAAAAGCAGGAAAAGCAGGGATGGAAGAGGCTGAGCAGCTCCCTGGCATCGCAGCTGTGCCCCTACCTGACACCAACAGGCAGAAAAAGCAGGGAACATGTTAAGAATTATTAAATTTAATTGTTTGGTCTCTCAGAATTTGACTCGATTGGGCAAGGAATGAAATTTTTGGTCTTCCCGAGACTGGAGCAAAGACATCCCACAGGGAGCAAATCTCTGATTTAGATTTAATTTAGATTAAAAACCACAGTCAGGCTTCCCAAGTCACATCCAGAGGGGCAAAGGAGACTTGCTTGGAACACCAGGAATCCTGGAATTGCAGTTTTCCTGCAGGGTTTGGGAAGGCTGGACGGCGACACCCCGGTGGGATTTATCCGGAGCTGCCGCTTCTCTCTTCTCTCCTAAATTTCTGGGAGAGGCAAACCAGCAACTGTTTTACTACTTCTCCTGTTTTCCAAGGATTTGGGAAGACAATCCCTATGGAAAAGAAGTTATAGCCTGAAATCTTTCCTTCCAAAATGTGACTCGTCTGGGCAAGGAATGAAATCCTTCGCTCGGGCTTTTCGCTCCAGTCTCGGGAAGGCTGAAAATTTCATTCCTTGCCCAAACGAGTCAAATTCTGAGAGACCAAACAATTAAATTTAATAATTCTTAATGTGTTCCCTGCTTTTTCTGCCTGTTGGTGTCAGGTGGGGGCACGGCTGAGATGCCAGGGAGCTGCTCAGCCTCTTCCATCCCTGCTTTTCCTGCTGGAATGAAATTTTCGGTCTTCCCGAGACTGGAGCAAAGACACCCCACAGGGAGCAAATCTCTGATTTAGATTTAATTTAGATTAAAAACCACAGCCAGGCTTCCCAAGTCACAGCCAGAGGAGTAAAGGAGACTTGCTTGGAACGCCAGGAATCCTGGAATTGCAGTTTTCCTGCAGGGTTTGGGAAGGCTGGACGGCGACATCCCGGTAGGATTTATCCAGAGCTGCCGCTTCTCTCTTCTCTCCTAAATTTCTGGGAGAGGCAAAACAGCAACTGTTTTACTACTTCTCCTGTTCTCCAAGGATTTGGGAAGACAATCCCTATGGAAAAGTAGCTATAGCTTGAAATCTTTCTTTCCCAAAGTCCCCTTTCCCTGCTCACTGCAGGCAGGGAGCAGCCAAACCTCTGCCCATTTCGGGACCATCCCGAGCCCAACAGAAATTATTAATATCAAATACAAAATAGAAAAACACATATAAAATACCTGAATTCTTAAAAAGAAGTTTCCTGACAAACTTGGAATAGTTTGAACCTAACATTCCAAGCCAGAAATAACCTGGTGGATCCCTTTTCCAAGGGGTTCCCTGCTCATGTTGTCAGGTTAATTAAGGTGGTTTAAGCATCATCTAATTCCCAAATTTTAATGATCTTGGCATATATTAACAGCCAAAGTTCAGGACACACATTTATCAACTGATATTACTAAAATTTCTGTCTTTAAGCTCGTTTTAATGAGAGGTTATCAATGGAATTTATCCCTCTCTTCCATTTTTAAAATTGTATTTTAATGTCTCTCATTTTTCCCCACAAACCTGAACCCAGCACTGTTTCCAAAGGGAGAAAAATATTTGATGGGGAAAAAAAAAAAAGAGAAAAAAGAGAAATATGGATATAAAAAGACTCTTATACAAGCCATTTAATAAAACAAACAAAAAAAATAAAGACTAAAGAGAAGGAAGAGTGAAACAGAACTGGCAACACTTATATTTACATTATATTAAGAGAATAAATTTAATCAAATATAACATCTCACTTGCAGGAACCCTTCAGAAAGAGGGGTTTTCTTTTTTTTACAGTAAAGATGGAACCAGAGTAAAAATAACTGTTCTGTTTTTGCAGGAGTGGATGTGAGCCAAGATGCTCTCCGAGATTTACCCAGAGCCAGGCTGACCCAAGGGCTTCCCAAGTATGCACAGTTCCAAAGCAAATCCTGGAATTCCACCCCTTCAGCACCTCCAATTCAGCTCCAGTTTGCACAGGGACAACTGATTTTACCAGTCTGAGCAAGGAGTTCTCTGACCAAGACAGAAACTTTCCCCCCTTGGTTTCATTTTAGAGCAAAAATCTGATTTTTTTTCAGCCATAATTTGAATTCTCCCCCATCTCCCCCCAACACAAAGCCTGGTATGCTACAACCAGGTTTATTTTCAGGTAGATGCAAAAAAGCTTCTGTGGAACCTTTAAAATGAATTCCTCTCCACGGTCCTGAAGGATAATTGAGTGATGGGGGGAAAACGTGGATTAAATTCCCAACTAGGCTGAGAAAACACTGGGAGATCAGTGGAATATCCCGTGGGTATTCCCAGGAGGTCAGAACATGCCTTGGAACTGCCACTCCCTTCCCAAAAACCCCCCATCCCCCTGTTATCTGGGATTCCCAGGGATCAGCAGCTACGAGGGCCACGAGTGAAATATTTCAGAAGCCTCCCCCAAACACGATCTGCCCAACTTCAGCTGGAATTCCTGCCCAATCCAGGGGGGAACTGAGGTATTCCAGGACCTTTCCCACTCTTCCTGGCCTGGTTTCCCCTCACCCCAAAGGCAGCAAGATCCCGTGGACGGACGGAAGGTTGGAAGTCTGGGACAACGCACCGGAGGCAAAGGACACAGATTAGCAGCAAAGGAACTTTCTGTCTGGTTTTGGGGCTTTTTTTTCCCCCTCTCTCTTTTTTTTTTTTGAAAGCCAGAAAGTGCTTGAGGGCTCTGGAGGAGCGAGCAGGGTCAGAATTCCTCGTGGACGTTGCGGGCGTAGTCCATGAGTTTGCTGCCGGTGAAATATTCGCTGTATTTCAGGATCTCCTCCAGCTCCAGGTGGTGGTTTTGATTCTCATCTGCCACTGCAATCATCTGCTTGGCCTCGTTGAGGGCGTTGTACTCGTTCATGGGATCCATGTATTCCTGAAAAACAGGGAGGAGGAGCTTTGGAATTCGCTTTCCCACACGGCGGAACGAGGAATTTTGGTCCTGTGTGGACTTCACCCACACCACCCTTCCCAAATCCTGGGAGAAGCTCCTGGCACTGATCTCCAGGAGCCAAGAACGTTGTCCCAGCTCTTTTTCCTCTCACTGACTGATCCAGCAGAAATCCAGATTTTTCTCAGCTTATGCCAATAGAAATATTTTTGACATTTTGGCTTCAAACCAAACGAGCAACTTCAAATTCAGAATTCACCCCAATTCAAAATTCTAAATTCTCCTGTTTCTGGAGACAATGTTTTTTTGAGGATATGTTTAATTTGGGCCATTTTAGACCACACTGCAGAGGTCAGAAAGCTCAGAATGAAAGCATTTTGCCCCTTCACCTGAGGTAAAATAAATTCAAAGGTCTCAGGTGGGGCACTTAATTAATTAAAAGTTAGAAGAGTCAAGATTCATTTCTCCCCAGAATATGTGACAGATGTGTAAGTACATAAAGACTTCACAGGTAAAAGAATTATTTTTAAAAGAAAATTCTCAGTAAAAAGGTCATAAAATTGTCCATATATCCATAAAATACCATAAAACTGTCCATATAACAATTTATCCACACTACCAAGTATCTATATCCAAATATTTGCACACTGAGAAGGTGAGGGACTTTAACATTCATCCAACATCCATCTCAACTTTAACAGCCTTGGGGAGAGAAAAAAGTAATAGAGTAGTTCTTCTTGCAGTAAAAAAAGAAAAGGCCCCAAACTAGAATCTACACTTGAAAATAACAATTTTTAAAAAAAGAAAAACAGCCTAAAAGACAAGAGCTCTCCGCTCTTTTCAAAGCTGTGCTTGTTCCACTCTTGAAAATCATTTGGGTTTTTAAAGAAGAAAAACACCCCCCTCTTTCCAAGGGCCCCAGTGTTTGTTGGGCACTGGGGTTTTTTTTTTTTGCTTTCTTTTATTTTGCTGGGGTTTCCCCCCCCCCCCAAAGAATCTCTAGGTTGGCAGTTACTCCTTTTGCAACTGAAAGTCTGAGTCACAGTGACTCTGTGCCCAGCTCACCTGAGGAAATCCAGGGCTGCTTTCAGGCACCCCAAAAAAACACTCACCAGTGTGTTGTGTGTGACAAAAAAACCCTCAAAGCAAAGCCCTGAATAACAGTTTGGTTAAGAAAACTCCCCCTCCTCTTGAACTAAAATCATAACAGCACCTGCAAGCCCCACAGAGCACTATAACCCAGGGGGTTGTCCTATTAATTGGAATATTTTGGGATTTGGGGTTCTCTCCAGCTGTTTCAACGGTGTGTTTTAAAACTGCTGGGGTTTAAATGATCAGGAAACTCACCTCCAGCTCTTCCATGGTGACAATCCCATCGTGGTTGGCATCAATGACCTCCTCAAACTCCTTCCTCCTGTCCTTGACCCAGTCATCATCAATGTCCTGAGCCTGCTGGTTCTCCACGGTGCCAACAGGTAAGGAGATGAACTCGGAGAGGGTGAGCTTCTTATCTCCATCCTGATCTACAAAAGAACCACCAAAGAACTCAGAAGTATTGGCTTAATGCCCATTAAAAATGATAAAACCTCACTGGGACAGCCTGCCTGCTCTGAGCAGTCCTCACTGCACTCAGGTACCAACACTTCTGAATTAAAAAACACAATTTCTTGGAAAACTCAACCATTTATTTCCACTTTTCTGAGTGGAAGTCACGACTGTGACAGGGCTGCTGGACTAGGGGAGTGCAGTGCA